TAATTACTAATAATTTTTAATAATATATAAAATATTTATTTAAATTTAAAGTTATACTGTAAATATATATTGTATGAATTGATTTCATTTTGAAAATTAGCCAATAGATATTGAAAAACAATATTTTTTTAGTACTAATTTCAATTTATTAAAAAAAACTTTGATCGACAATTCGTCGAGATTGTCAAATTATTATAACGATCTGAACGATATTGTTAAATAAAAAGACGATCATTTTTCTCGTAATTGTAATTTCTCGATCGTCTTGTCCGACGTGCATCACTATTTAATTTAATTTTAATTGGGTTCATAATTATTTAATTCTTGCAAAGAGTTTTAGTATTTATAAAAATAGTTGAATTATTTCGAAGAATTTATTAAAGTTTAAGAAAATAATTGCAATTTATGAAAATATTTTAAAATATTTGAATTCATCTAAGGAATTCCATTAAAATTGTTTTGAAAATAATTGAATTCCTGCAAAGAATTTTACTATTTATAAAATTAATTGAATTCTTCGGAAGAATTTTACTATTTATAAAAATAATTGAATTTTTTCGAAGGATTTATTAAAATTTTAGAAAATAATTGAATTCTTTCGTGAAATTTTCAAAATAAAAAATTTTGTAATTTGCAAAACAATAATAAGTTGAATATCTTGTACCGCGCGTAACATTTCCTATTGCGTAAGAATGTGGTAGAAGCAATACAGGGTTTAAGGTTCAATTAGGACTTAAAAAGGAGTTGTCAGAGTTAAATAGAACTTACGCAGGAGGAAAAAAACACCAAGGGTTTGTTAGGTGCAGGTTAGGGTTAAATTATACTTACCAGGAGGTAAGCAGGTCTAAAAGTTCGACTCGGGCGTGTATTGATATTATATTGTTATCCATTTAACCTTAAAATATTAATTTCAAGTTTTTGAAAAATATCACATTCAAAACGTTTAAAAAAGCTTTTATTGAAATGATGATTCAAAGTTATTTACAAGTGTTTAAATGATAGTTTTATAATTATCATAATGTATTATTGTAAAATGTTTTTTTAAAAAGAAAAAGTGTTATTTATTTTCTGAGTAATATAAAATTTGAAGAAAGGTTGTTAATTTTCAATAAATCATGATTTTAGCAAGATCTTAGTGTTTTATTTTACATTTTGTTGTATAATATTTACAAACTTTTTGTTTAATATCTTATTCTTTTTTAATTTACTCTGAAATATCTACACAAAAGATTTAATGAATAAGAAAAGATCAAAAAAATGTTTATGTAACATTATAAAAGCACAAAGTAGCCCCATCCCGGGGTCTATTTTGTGCACAACTTTTAATGACTACAACTCCGACAAAAAAATTTATTTCATTGACTAACGCATAGGAAACCTTCAGAAGGAAGTATAACATATGCAAAAGTTGATTTTCTTTTAATTCTGAATTTAAATAAATTACTGAGTTAAAAAAAGCATTTTGATGCACAAAATAGCCCCAGCAAAAATATTTACTATTTACTATCAGCTTGACATAACCAGAGAATTTCATTTTCATAACATTATGAAATTAGCGCATAAAACTAATTGTAGAAAAGTATTCACAAATAAGAGCGTTACGATCAACAGTAATTATACTGTGCTTCTGCTTGGTTGTTGTAAAGGCGTGTTTTTTCGAATATTAAGGTATTTTTTTAATAAGTCAACGGTTGCCGAAGCATTAAAATATAAAAGGACACAACTATGTCTGTCATCTTCTATAATATGTGCTAATGGATCTTATTTTAGGTTGTAATTCTCAGATAACATTAAAATGTGCCATAAACAGTTAAATTATAGGGAAAAAAATCTTATTACAAAATTGAAAAAATTTGTGGACAAAACTATTTTACATTTTATAATTTTATAAGAAGTATTAGAAGATGCATTATATGTAAAAATTGTTCACCTATATACACAATTCATATTACAAAAATTCTCGTTTTTAGTTTCGGCGTTTTCAATAAAATTTCTGAATTTTAACTTAAAATTTTAAAAAACGGACACGCCACGGAGCTGAAATTTTGGAGGGAAATCCGCAATTTATCAAAAAATATAATATCTATTTGTACATATTTGTGGTTACGAATAGGTTTTATATATACCTGTGAAATGTATCCATACCCAAGCAAAAATTTTTTATTTTGAATATGTTTTCTGTGACGCCGCCAAATATTACAGTTACGTGCAAATCACCCATATAATAAGTAAATATTGTTGTTATAAAAAAAGTTCACAAAACGTGTTGCAAACTATCAAATTTTTTTACTTCATGATGACCCAATGGGAAAAAGACCATTGGCGCATTAATAGCCCAATAATGGGAGCCACCATTCCATTATTGTCCCATTATTGGCACCCAATAATGGACCACTAATGGTAAAATCGTGGGATGTCCACGCCGATGCCAATAATTGGGAACCATTATTGGCACATTATTGGGCCAATAATTAAAAAACCATTAAGCTATTAAAAACCAATAATAATAAAAAAAATTTTATTAACTTTTATTAAATAATAAATTTATTTATTTAATAATTATTTTATTTATTATTATTAATATTTATTATTAAAAATATAAATTTTTTTAATTGATTATTTTATAGAAATGGTTATTATTTTCTATCACATCGAAATGTGAATAACCCTTTCGTTCAGAGTCTAAAAACTATTTACCTCACATCCAGGGCAAAAATAGAAGAGGACGGGCAAAATAAAATTCCACAAATATTCGTGAGAATGCTGCCTCCTTATATACTTTTCAAGTTTCATGTTAGTTGCGAGAGAGTTTGAAACAACACCTCCTACGGAGCGTTGAGCGAACTATATAGAAGTGCATGCTATAGATTCTAATTCTTAAAAGTTGGTCTTAATGTTTTTTATTTGACTTAAGTACGTATTAAACTTCAAAAAAAATTAAAAGCCAAATTTTTTTCAGGCATAATTTTTATTTTAATATATTGAAATTAAAAAAAATGGTATTTCTCAGTAAACTGTTAACTTCCGTTCAATGTCTCTCCGTGTCTCTACTCGTTAACAACAAAAATAATATACCATATGTCTGCTAGAGATGTCTACTTTAATATAACTTGAGCACTTTTGCGCATATTCATATTTCAGTGTTCAAAACAGCAATACATTATTACATAGAATATCATCACGTATCGTTACGTGATGATCTAGTCTGACAGTGTCGGATTCGCAAACTGTTCTTGAAAGAGGTATTGCATGAGAAAGAAACAGACGTCAATATAGTGTTATCTCTTTTTCTCTCACCTAAACATAAGGCTTTTGGGGAGGGGGTTAAGCATACACGTGACTACCCTCAGGATCCACCAATAGCATCTGACTTTTATAGCGGTTGCATTACAGTGTAATGAGAGAATATATTATAAGTATCAAGAGTAACACTTGAACAACTAAAGTAAAAATATAAATCAACGAGATTTCCACTGTTTCCCAGATAGCACGCAAGCTTGCTTCAAATTTGCACTGTAAGTTTTGCTAGATTGCAGTGCAAGCTTTCTGCAAGTTTGCAGCGAGTTTGCGTGCTATCTGGGTTGGGCCAAAAGTGTGTTGAAAAAATTTTTAATGGATTTTTATGAAACTTGGTATCCTAAGGTTTCTGGGTTCGCTGTTTACGAATCAGAGATCAGTTTTTCGAAATTCAAAATGGCGGATCCAAGATGGCGGAAATTTTTTCAAAATTCATCGAATTTACTTAAAACTGGTTACTCGGAGGTTTTAAGGGTCGCTGATTACGAATCTAACAATCGTTTTCCAAAATTCAAAATGGCGGATCCAATATGGTGGACGACAAAATAAAAAATTAATTATAATGGCTTATAATTACCATTGTCTCGAATAATTATTTACCAGTATTTACTTTTTACAGAATTGTCATATAAAAACTATATCCTATTTGCTCAAATGTTTATTTAACAGATTCGACGAATAGACATTTCGACGTTTTGAGCATTCGACGAACTGACAATTTGATGTTCTGAGCATTCGATGATTTGACAATTCGAATAAAAGAACAATATGTCACATAAAGATAAGGTAGAAATAGATTTATGTTAAACAATTAATATAACAATTTAAAATTAGGTGAAATAAAGTTTCGGCAAAACGAAAATTATGTTAAATAATCTTTCTGACAAATAAACATTCGGCTGAATGCTACTTCGAAGTAAGTGAATTTCTGTTAAATAAACATTAGAGCAAATAGGATATAGTTTATATGACAATTCTGAAAACAGTAAATACTGGTAAATAATTATTCGAGACAATGGTAATTATAACGAATGACATTTCGATTAAATGAAATTTATAACTTATTACTTTTATAGCAATTGATATTTAGGTTAAAAAACATTTCGAATAAAAAAACAAATTTTAATTAATGATTTTAATAAATAGGAATTATAACAGACGAAATATCGGAAAATCGAAAATTAGTCCAAACAATTAATTGGACAAATGAAAATAATGTCAAATGTTTCTTCGGGCTAACAAAATCTCTATTAAATAATATATCTTCAAAATAAAAATTAGAGCTAATGAATCATCGGGAAAATGAAAATTAGATCAAATAATAATTCTAATAAATATAGCTTATGGCAGCTGGTGATTCGACAAAGTGAATTTCGGTTACTTGTTATTATGTCAAATGGAATTTGTGGAAGATTGATGCGTCCCATCCTATATAAGAATTTTTTAGTAGGGTACAAAGTATAATGAACATTCTAAACCTCTCCCCCCTATAAGTTATTACGTAATTTAAGCATTACCTCCAAGTGTATCCATTGAAAAATAACAGCATAGTTCTTAATAGCCAAGATGCATATTTTGCACTGTAATATATAATATAATTCAGGCAAATAAACAATTGGATGTATCAACTACTGCTTTTGTGGTCTATCTAAAGTACAACGTCTAAGTAAAAAAATTTTTTTTAGATCAATATTTCAATACTCATGGGTATCATCGCAGCCATACCTCGAAATATACGTCGACAAGCAGATTACATTTATCGAAGACCAGATGTAGCATTCGAACTACCTTCATCAAATCAAGTGCCTAACAGAATTCCAAGTTCTTCATCAACAGAACAATCGTCACAAAACATACAGTATTATAAATATCCTTCACCTCCATCATATAATTATCCTCTTCCTGCTTCTTCCCCTACCTTAAGAGAATCACCACCATCGATTCCAGCATTCTCTTCACTATCTCTATCACCAACTCCTGGTTACTTACCTCCGCCATCTCCATCTCCTTATAATAAACATATTCCTATTTCACAACCACTGCCGACATCAAATTATTTACCTCCGCCATCTTCACCTCCTATTTCACAACCAATACCGACATCAAATTATTTACCTCCGCCATCTCCACCTCCTATTCCACAACGACTACCGACATCAAATTATTTACCTCCGCCATCTCCACCTCCTATTCCACAACGACTACCGACATCAAATTATTTACCTCCGCCATCTCCACCTCCTATTTCACAACCACTACCGATATCAAATTATTTACCTCCGCCATCTCCACCTCCTTATAATTATAACATTCCTAATTCACGACAGCAACCGACTTCAAATAATTTACCTCCATCTCAGCCAACTCCTCATCCTTTATTCTCTACACCATCGTCCTATAACTATCCCTCTCCCACTCCAAAACTTTTAGCACCTAGACGAGAATACTTACCTCCACCTACCTCTAAACCATTTTTTCCATCAGCGCCTTCATATAATAATACTGTTACTGTACTACCATACCCATCTTCTCCACAATCGACTCTTCACCCTTCATATAACTACTACTCCCCTAACCCACCCCCTTCTCCATCATCACATAATTATCCCTCTCATACTCCACCACCGCTATCATCAACTTCAGGTCATTCACCACCCCCAACTCCCAATCCTTCTTATCCGTCACCAGCTTCTTATAGCAATCTTATACACACACCACCACCGCGACTGAATCCAAGTTATTTACCTCCACTTGTTTCTTAATCTTAATATAATTTAATTTCAATCGCAAAAAAGGTTTAAATTGATAAGTATGAGCGTTAGCTAAAAATCCATTTACAGGATCCTTTATAAGGTTCCTCTACAGAAACTCTGAAGGATCCTTCTGGGATCCTTTACAGTATCCTACATGTTCCACTGCAGGAGCATTAGCTATCAATAATATAGGTAGAGGTTATCACTTGGTCAAATATATAAAACAACAGATAAAATATATCAATCCATCCAAGTCAAGTTAATAATAAAAAACACACATATCTCGTTTTGACATGTGTGTTTCTCTATCAGTGTGTTTACACTTATAATATATCTTATTAGCACTCGAAACGCGGGTCATTGACCTACAATACACAAAAATTTGTACATTTTTCTCTTTGCGTTTAGTTTATTAATCGATGTCTGACAATGAATATTAATTGTGATGTGTCTGTCGAAACGTCAAAACGAGACATGTGTTTTTTTATTATTAACCTGACTTGGATGGATTGATATATTTTATCTATTGTTTTATTAGCAATCAATGTTTCATGTAAAAGTTTCTCCAGGCCGATAAACCTTGTACAATATCATACGTAAGAACTTATGCAAGAAAATTGACAAGTACTTATATATGAACTTACATACGTTCCACCCAAGGCTTTGGAACAATGAACATGTACATGAACATGCAAATGTTCTTTTAATGGTAACTTAAGATAACGAAAAATACGAGTTCACACTTGTGTACTTATACAAGATCGTGCATAAGTTCATCTGCAGTTTCGTTTATTAATTTTTTATTTATGCAAACTATAAAGAGGGAAGGAATCTTTCATGGTTTTATCAATTAATTTATTTGATTGTTTAACATCCTGCGCAGTAGTTTTCTATTAGTTTTTAAAATGCGCAGTACATTTTTCTGTCCATCAGTATGCTAGTAGCCTTACATATTGAAATAGAAAGTATATGTATGTAAAATGTATGCCTTTCAGATATGTTAGATCGGCATCCGAATAACACAGTAATAGATTTCTATTATTTAATTAGATATTAATGTAAAAAATTGGAAACAAGATAATTGTAAATAAACTGAGATCTGTGTCAATCTCTTTGTATTGACATTTGTCATATAAAAAATAAACTATTATGATGAATGGTAATATGCGTATACTGTTATTTTGATATTTTCCACTATTACATTGTATCATTGGGGTAAAATTCCTCAATTGTCCTAACTTAAAATCGAAAGTCTTCAAATCGGGCTCATTTTTGCACAAACTTTAATACTATGGGAGAGAACTTTACCCATAAAATATTAAGATATTTTATTAAAAATTGTAGGGGGGAGAGGGGGTTAAAGTTTTTGGTAACGTGTGAACAGTGGATTTTTTTAGCTAATATAGCTAAAATACAGTAGAGTGGACAAAATTTTGACCTATATGTTTTCGAAAGGTTTTTTCCTCCTCTTTCGAATGGTGTAAAAATTTTTTTTTTTAATTAACAATTTAACTAATTTTTTTCAAAATTAAAAATATTTTTCACTTTTTTTTAAAAAACGGCATTTTTTTTTCTCTTTTTTTTGCTTTAAAATAAAGCTTAATATGTGTACTTTCCATAACTGATTCTGAAAAAATGACGTTTTTTTTTTGTTTCCGAATTATTAATTACACGGAGAAACTTTTAATACCACTAATTCTTAAAACTGGTGAGACATTTTAGTATGTTAGGTTAGATTCAAGGGAAAAACGACATAGGTTATAGAAATTGCTATTGAGACTATCAAAAACACTCATTCAGTATATATTTTACAGTTCTTCATAAGGAAACTAACGAAAATTAGTATGTTGTTTTAGAAAGAAAATAATAATTTTTGCAAAGTTGGGAAAGCCATGAATTAAAAAGAAACACAACAAATTAATTGTCTATAGATACTCATAGAGACGATAGTGATACTTGGATCTGATGGTAGATGGCATTAGTGTATGTCACTGTAACTGTAGGTAAATATATTTAACACGACGTAAGAACCTAACCTATATTATTAACGCACACACGCACACGCAAGTAAAGACACGACGATTGGTCACGGAAACCGAAAGATCGCACGATTCGTTAGAAGTACACAGCTGAATCGTCCTTATATATTAAACGAGTGGAAAAATATGTGCCTTCGAGAGAGAGCATTTTTTAAAATAACTTACTAATCAAATTATGTAAATAAGTAAAAGTCGTGAAAAAAATTATGTTATATTGAGGAACAGTTCTTGAATTTAATTTGGCATGAGGAGATTCACGTTTATTCGTTTATTCACGTTTATTAATAAAAGGTTTTTTTCTTTCATACACGTGTGAATTTCAACTTCGAAAACATTAGGGTTAGTTCGCGAGTCAGGTGATGGACTCGGTGATTCTCGGGCGAAATCGGTTAAGTCCGCCCGCAGTCCTTCCAAAATTGGTATGTTACGTTAGAATGTCTGTTATATATTCTATCTATATGTGGAAAAAAGGTTAGAATTACCGTATTATTTCACAAACAAAAACTAGCATTTTATTCTTTTCTAAAGAAAAATAAGACTATTTCTAATGCAGATAGCAATTTTTGTACACCGAAGGTTGCTTAATATATAACGAACTTATCATATTTTCGTATTAATGTTGAAATTATTAGCACAACGCACGAAAAATCCTCACATTCTAACGTACTTTTAGAATAAAGATAACCAAATATATTCAATATTAGAAGAAAAAGTTTCTCCGTGTAATTAATTAATAAAAATCAGTAAAAAATTACTAAAAAATGAAATATTTTTTAAGCAAGTAAACTTTTCTGAATTATGAGATTATCATCGTAAAGCTTACCTAATTCCGCATCCAACAAGTATAATTACACCTATTTTTACAAATAATTGTTAAATAAATAAATAATTGAAAATTTATTCATTAATTTTTTGAAATTGTTTATAAAAAATAGTTAAAAATAAATTTGTTGGGTGCGGAAGTTGGTAAGCTTTACGTTTGCAAGCGCAAAATTAAGAAAAGTTTATTTCTTTGAAAAATAATAATTTTTTAAAATAATTTTTATTAATTAATTAATAAATAATACGAAAAGAAAAATGTCATTTTTTCCTAATCGGGTATTAAAAGTACACATATTAAGCTTTGCTTGAAATAAGAATAAAAATAAAAAATGTCATTTTTCCAGAAATGAATAAATAAATAATCAATTATTTATTTATTTAACAATTATTTATAAAAAACAGTTTAGTTTATGCTTGCTGGGTGCGGAATTTTGTAAGCTTTACGATGATAAGCTCATAATTAAGAAAAGTTTATTTGCTTGAAAAATATTTAATTTTTTAGTAATTTCTTACTATTATTAATTAGTTAATTAATTATTCGAAACACAAAAGAAAACGGCACTTTTTCCTAATCGAGTATTGAAAGTACACATATTGAGCTTTATTTTAAAGCAAGAAAGAAGAAAAAAATGTCCTTTTTCAAAAAATTAATAAATAAATTTTCAATTATTTATTTATTTAACAATTATTTGTAAAAATAGGTGTAATTATACTTGTTGGATGCGGAATTAGGTAAGCTTTACGATGATAATCTCATAATTCAGAAAAGTTTACTTGCTTAAAAAATATTTTATTTTTTAGTAATTTTTTACTGATTTTTATTAATTAATTAATTAATAATTCGAAAACAAAAAAAAACGTCATTTTTTTAGAATCAGTTATGGAAAGTACACATATTAAGCTTTATTTTAAAGCAAAAAAAAGAGAGAAAAAAATGCCGTTTTTTAAAAAAAAGTGAAAAATATTTTTAATTTTGAAAAAAATTAGTTAAATTGTTAATTAAAAAAAAAAATTTTTACACCATTCGAAAGAGGAGGAAAAAACCTTTCGAAAACATATAGGTCAAAATTTTGTCCACTCTACTGTATTTTAGCTATATTAGCTAAAAGAATCCACTGTCCACACGTTACCAAAAACTTTAACCCCCTCTCCCCCCTACAATTTTTAATAAAATATCTTAATATTTTATGGGTAAAGTTCTCTCCCATAGTATTAAAGTTTGTGCAAAAATCAGCCCGATTTGAAGACTTTCGATTTTAAGTTAGGACAATTGAGGAATTTTGCCCCCATTACTAAAATATATGTGTTTGTATAAAAGTCGTGAAGCTTTAAAATTAATATATATTTATGATCCTGTTTACACCACAAAGGGTAAAGTAGGGAAAGGAAAATTATGCTGAAGAAACAAAGCTAAAGTTAACTATTCCTCTGTTTCCCCAGCTTAATTTATCTTTCCCTCCTATACCCTCTTCGAGTAAACAGGTTCTATGAATTTTTAAAATATATTGAGATTAGTAGAAATTTAACATGGATAAGCATGGAACATAATTCTTCTATTAGTCTGGATTGATTTAGGCAATTAGCTTATTGCCTCGTCAATAAGCTAAGTGCTTAAAGTTCTCTCGCAGCGAATAGAATAATAAGTAGGTATATTTGATGACGAGTATAAACACTGATTTATAAATAAATTTTAGAAATTGAAATAATTAATTTAATAAATGATCATTTGTATTGTCTAATATTGAAATTCAAATCTATTTTATGTCGCAGGAATAGTCTAATGACTATTAACGAAAATAATGTATATATAATTAATTTAAATGTTTATATCATAATATTTAAAATTATAAGGTAAATTATTTATTATTTACTTGTTACAACAAGCTAAAGACTGATGACAGTCAGAATTACATTTTAATTTAAATTTGAAACACGAGCACCGATTGTTTTGACACTGATTGGAAGCTGCCTTGCAGTTACACTTTTTGTAGCCTTGCATTTGCCTGGACCACCCGTCTAATGGGTTTTTTCGCCAGTGGTGAGGGAAACTGTAGAAATCCTCTCCAAGTACAACCGGTTTATCGATGGCCGAGTTCTAACTGGGTGTACCGGACAATAATCTACAGTGCACATCATTATACCTTGTAGGCCTGTGCGGTAAACCGGTATACCGGTTTTTTTTCGGTATTACTGGAAACCGGTTTCCGGTTATGTATTCCCGGTTTAAGGTTTTGTTTTTTTAACCGGTTTTTCAAGAAATACCGGTTTTATTTTTTAAACCGGTTTTTCAAGAAATACTGAATCTAACCGACTTGCGCATTATGCCTGCGCAAAAGTGACATAACGCCAGAACAGAAACAGATGATTGAGAAAGATTAATCTTTTTTGTTTTTATTAGACATACAGTGATTTTTTTTACTTAACAGATCAATTAAAAATGTTGTTTTTGAAAAACAACCTGATTTTTGTAATAAACCAAATTTTCTTAAACCAGTTTTCTTTTTAAATAAAATGGTATTTGAAAAACTCGTATTCAAAAAACGGTGTTTTTAAAAATACCGGTATTTAAAAAAACCGGTTTAAAAAAAAATACCGGTATTTCTTAAAAAACCGGTTTAAAAAAAAATACCGGTATTTTTTTTTAATACCGAAAACCGACTGAAGAACCGGTTTTTTCAAAAACCGAAAACCGGTTATGGATTTTTAATACCGCACAGGCCTAATACCTTGACGTCAAACCTCCTGCTCAGATTATCTCACGTGCCGACCGAGATAATCTGTCAGTTTTACTTTTAAATTCTAATTTATCAACAATATGATTTTCTATATTGAATATTTTCAACTGTTACTTGAAACGTGCTGTAAGACACTGATTTTAATTTTCAATATTCCTGACACATCAAGAAAATAAATTTGATTTTCAATATTAGTCAATATAAATGATCATTTACTCATTTAATT